TATTTCAAAGCTAAGATTTTTTACCAATATTACCTTTATAAACTTGGTGAGTGGTTGAAAAGATGTAAAATATTGTAGGCTATTGTATAGGTATAGCTTTATGTGGATTGTTGTTTATTAAAGTTTAGTGAAAATGGCAAAAAACTCCAAAAACATATTAAATTTTGATAAATTTATTTATCAATACACGAAAAGGAAAAAATGTAGGCAGGAGATTATCATGAGATTATCAGGAATAATGACCAAAAATAGATAATTAATTTCCAAATGCGGTAATTTGGTTGACAAACTTTAACACAAGATTTTTTACTATTTTATTAATAATCTTTCCTAATTTTTTTTTAAAAGAAGGAAGGTTTGTGGCTAATTTTATTAATAGAATTTCAACATTGATCACCAAAAAATTTCGGAAAATACACTTCCCAATCATTTAATGTGACAAATCATTCGACTAATAAATTTAATCTTAATCAAATCAAATCAAATCAAATCAAATCTTAATCTAATCAAATTTTAATTTCTGAAGATGCCCATTGTTTTGGTGTAAAATTTATAAAATTGCTATCTCTATAAGTTGATTGGTATAGTTTTTTAATGTTCATGTTATAAAAAATACTGAGAAGCCCAAATTGCCCAAACTAGTTTGGGCTTTGAGAAACAGTTTGGGCCAGAAACCTTAATCTAAGTGCTATATTGTTATTTTCTAGAGGTTTGTTAGAACTAATTTAAAGCCCAAATCATCAATAGCTACATCCATGTCTTGAGAGCCCAAGTTATTGTTTTTAGAACCATTTTCATTATTCAATGAAAAGTAAATTCCATATGTTCTACAAAGTAATCCATATAAGGAATGGGTTTTTCCAGATCTAGAACAAAAAGAAAGGGATGTCATTCATTTGCCTTTGCCATGTCTTCAATCCAGCTTGGCTTGTAATGATCCTTATTCTTACCCAGAAGTGCCCATTAAGAAGAGCCAACATTGACCCATAGCCTTATCAATTAGGTTAGAAAGTATATCTTTAGGGATGTAGCCTTGTTGATTGCCAGAGTCTGGTAATAAATGCAAAATGAACAAAGGTCTTCCATTAATCATCAGAATTCTGGATGCATCAGGGTTGACAAATGTGCAGTCCATTGATGGTCTATTGATGGTCCATTGGGTCCATTAGTGTAACACTTTAATCATATTTAGTATTTTATTAATGGCAATGGACCAGTCAATTTGTCAACCCTGGGATGCATTAATACTATCTTTACATATATGGTTTGAAATTCTAAATTCTTCCAGTTTGATTTTTTTGACCAGTTTGTCTTCAATCTTGTCCAATGAGACTCTGCCTTCCTCAATACTTCCTCTTTGCTTTCAAATACTTTCAATATTCCTTCCTCTGCACCTGCAACAATATTGGGAATGTATAGATGGATGTATAAATAAAATGAATAGGTGTTAATTAAGTTGTATACAGTATGCCAAATGCACTCTCAAATGAATAAATAAATGAAAATAATTTTTTTTATATTGGTGATTCACCAATGAATCAGTGAATGATTGACATTTTTATATGGTGCAAGTCACCTAGTCCCGCAACTTGCTGCGCCTCGTAGCCAATTTTGGGAAAATCACCAAAACTCAGAATTTGTAAGTTATGCTCAAAAATGCAATAAAATTTTATATCACGTG